CGCGGCTGCGGGACGGCAGCGCGCCGCGCCGGCCGCTCTCGAACGCCGGCTTGGTGGCCTGGGCCACCTTGATGGCCTTACCATCCAGCGACTTGCCGTTCAAGTCTCGGACGGCCGCCTTGGCGTCCGCGGGGCTCTCGAAGGTGACGAACGCGAAGCCTCGGGACTTGCCGGTCTCCCGGTCTTTCATGAGGAGCACCTCGATGATGCGGCCGTACTTGCCGAACGTGCTCTCCAGCCCCTTCTCGTCGGTTTCGGGGCTCAGCCCCCCGATGAACAGCTTCCCCGGGCGGTCGGCTTCGGCCATGGCGAGTTTCGAGGTCCGCGGCGGCGAGACACGAGGCGACGAGATGGCGGCGGCGGCGCGGTGTGAGAGAGAACGCACTGAGCGAGGGGGCGTCTTCTACGGCGAGTCACGGACCCCCACGGCCCCAGCTGCCCCTGCGCGGCGGGGCGCAGGGACGGCGTCCCGTCGGGTCCACGAACCAGTGGCCGCCGCGGGTTATGATTGGCTGGCGCTTCCCTCGGGCTGCCCGCCGTCGGAAAGTCGCTTTGGGGGCGTCTCCCCGGGTTTCGAGCCGCAACGTCTTCAACGTAGCGTCTGAGTGGAAGCCGTTAGGCGAGGGGGAAAAAAATATTTCCCGATTGCCCTTAATGGCGATTGTGGTATATTCCCGTCATAGTTGCGCGCGCCATTTTCAGACAAAACAAGTATTAATGGAAAAAATGGAGTATTAGTTTAAAATAATTTATACGTAACATTTAATAAAAATGAGATTTTTATTTTCTGCACATGTCAGAAGGGAAGAGATAGATACTTGGTGGGGTTGGTGGGGGTGACAGGCGTGATTGGTGAAACCGGAAGTAAAGGGCGTCACTCTTGGGGTGAAGCGTTTTCTTTGTCTACCATTTTCTCCAGTTTTTCCGCTTTTAAAGGTTTATAGTTACGTTATATTCAAACTGCCATTAACAACAACAACCAAAAAAAAAAAAACCATAACGCAGAACGTTGACTTTAGGACAAAAGTAAAGCAAAACATGGGAGCGCTGGGACCCAATGCCACTCCCTCTTGAGTTCCATGCCAGTCCCTCTTGAGTTCCTCACCGAGCACGCTTGAGAACCTTCTGGAAAGAGGCAGCAACCTGAGCAAAGCAAAACTTCCTGGGTTCATTTAAACGAGTATTCCAGTTCATATTTGTTCCTTACGATAGTCTCTGAATGGAAATTAACGTAAAAAGTAATGAGGAGCACATATGTGTTTGAAAATAATAACTTCTAAGCGTAGCTTTTTTTTGTTTTGTTTTGTTTTTTGGTTGCGGACCAAATCAAACTCCGGACCTTGGGATTGCCAGGCCGATGCTTGTGCCGCTGAGCTATATCCTAGGCGCAGCCATATTTTCTTTCTTTTCTTTGCCATATTTATTTAATGTATTCTGGGGCTGTTCAAAAAGTGGTATAAATTTTTCAAAGGCTGTAATTTTAAAAAAGTTAATTATGAGAAATGTGTGCATGTGTGTGTGTGTACATATGTATGCATTCACATGGCTCTACAGGTTTATGGCAATACCTGTAAAAGGCTGAGTTAATCAAAGGCATTTTAATGATGTTTTCAACTTTAACGAGGATACTTAGGAATTTTTAACACGCATGAATGGAAGTGTTGAATGCATCACATTTTTTCATGTTATGAACTGCAGTAACATTCTTATAAAAAGTTATTGTATTTAAGGTAAACCCATCTGTTCAGGATTTTCTAAAAAGTTAATTTGAACATTATTTACAATATATGTACTTAACTAGTAAATCAATTTATTTCAGTTTTGAGAGTGTATTTTAAAATGTTTTTCGATTTGGTTTTTGCAAGATAACTTGTAAGAAAATATTCATTGTTGAAATTTTCAAATTTTAGTTGGGCATGATGGCACACGCCTGTGATCCCCGCACTCAGGAGACTGAGGCAGGATTGCTGTGAGTTGGAGGGCAGCCTGAACCACACAGTAAGACCGTGTCTCAACAACAAAAAAATTTTCAGGTTTTATTATAGTGCTGCCCTGTCTCGACCTCCTCTTTCTTCTCTCCTTTTTTTGGTGACAATCTTGCGAAAAGGTCCTCTGGTTTTTGTTTCTTTTATCTTCCTGTATATTTGAAAAGAACCAATTCTCAGCTTTGGTGATCCAATTTTTAAATTTTATTTGGTGCCATTATCTTTATTTTCTTCTTTGTGTTATTTTTCTTCTAATTTTTTAGGTAGAGCTTTTGGCACATTAATAATTTAAGTATTATAATTGTTACCTCTGTGTATATTTCAAATCTTTCCTGTTTTTAATTATTTACTAGAATTTAAAGTCACTAAGAACCACGTGAGTGTGCATGTGTGTGTGTGTTAATTACCAGGAACCAGGTCTTCCCACTGAGGTACATTTCCAACCCCCGCCCCCTAGAGACAAGGTCTTGCTAATTCACTGAATTGCCAAGGCTGAGCTCAAACTTGCCATCTCTCTTCCTAAAACTCTTGGAGTGCTGGGATTACAGGTGTGTGTGATCCATCATTCCTAAGAACTGGTTTTTTGTTTGTTTGTTTTTTGTCTTTTTGAGTCAGGGTCTATTTATGCAGTTCAGGCTGGCCTTGAGCTCACTTTGTATCCCAGGCTGGTCTTGAACTTGAAATGATCCTCCTGCCTCAGCTTCCTGAGTGCTGGGATTATAGGCGTGCATCACCATGCCTGGCAGAACTGTTTTTAAATTTCCCGTAATTGTGGATTTGTCAATCTGTTTTAATGTACATTTTTGCTCCATATACCTTAATATTATGAGATATATAAAAAAGAAATATTTCTAATGGAAGAAGTTATGACTACTGTTTTTATTCTTTGAATGGCTATGTTAGTACTGGCTTTTTGGTCCCAAAGAAATTCTTTCCATGTGCTTGGTAACCTGAGCAAAGAACTGGACAAGACACATGGGAAAGGTAGCGAGCATTTGCATTTATTGAGGGTAGAAAAGAAATAATGCTCTGCAAAATGACAGCATACTGATGAGGGGTATCACCACACGCCACTAAATTAATGGCTGGGCTCCTTTATACTGTTATCTCCTATCTCCAGATGGCTTTTCTTCCATGCCAACAAAGCGTTTTGGAAGGTTGTCTTATCAGAAACTCACATGGCTACACATGAGGCCTAAGTGACCTATCAAAGCTTGGTTTTTCACTAGATGTAAATGAAGCATTGAAGATAGCACTTTCTGATTGGTTTGGTGTACAATGCTGCAGTCATTCTGCATTTTGTGTTCTGTACATGTGTCCTGCGTCCCCGTGACAGGCCACAGCCACTTGCTCAACCAGTTTTCCCTGCCCTTATCTCCTATCTCAGTTATCATTAATATATTTACTGAGGTCTAACAAATAGGTTTATAAATTTACTTTCAAAACATTGTTTACATGATTAACGTATATTAAGATGTATAACATTTCCATCACCCCAGAAGGGGTTCTCTTTGCCTCCGTCAAAACATTATCTTCCTCAACAAGTAATTATGTTCTGATTTAACATCAACTACAAATTTTGTCTATTCTTAAACTTTATATAAATGTCATCCTATGTCATGAAATTTGTTTTTGCTATGCCTTACTATATTTTTATGATTCATCCATGTATTACACTAGTTTACTTTTTATTTATAAAATCTTTTAGTATTATAACTATTCCACAATTTATTATGCCCTACATCTGGTGGTGCCCAGTCTCTATACTTATTACACAGATTTCAGCCTCAGCTGCTTTTCTCAGATACTAAAGATGTCTTCTTTTATGTTCCCTTGGAGTTGGAGAATCAGAACGTCTTTGCCTTAAAAGAAATCAACTAATGGGGGACGGACAGTTGACCCGGACACTCCTTCACCAGGGGTTTCAAGATGTTCCCCATCCTTTTTGACCTAGATGTAGATTTCTGATCCTCTGTGGGGATACAGAGACACAAGTATAAGAGGGAACTGAATCCTCCACAACTTTCTAGCTCCCTGAGGATGTAGTGTCTCAGGAGGAGGCCCAAATCTGCCAGTCCCAGGTCACCTCTTTAGGGCTGCTCATTCCTCAGGACAAAAGGATTCTAAGTTCAGAGAAAACTCTGGACTTCCCTCTGCCAACATATGAAACAGCTGAGAGCCTTTTCTGTGGGCGATTAGGTTTTTCCAAAAAAATTTGGATTCTAAGATATGCCAAAAAGGCCAGCTGGGTGACTCACCATTTGGTTTTCACTTATAATTTGCTCTTTCACACCAAAGTAGGGTATCAGTGATAGAAGGGTATAGACACTTGTGCTGGCTTTACCTCAGTCTTTCACCCTTAAAAGTTTTTCTTCCAGATGAAAACTGACAGAATTTGGAGTGAAGTAATGACTATCATAAATTGTTTGATTCTCTGCCCATCGAGAATTAACCGCTCTTGAATCTGGGCTGGCCTCTTTTAGCCAACAAAGTTTGTGTCAGCCTGGGTCTGCCCCGGCTCCCAACTTTTGGAAGCATCAAACCCGGGGCCTCATATATGCTAGACAAATGCTCTACCACTGAAACTACAGACTCTGCTCTGGGCTTACTTTTTTAAGAAAAATGGCACTTTACACTTGGTCCTTATCTTGAGCCCCCACCCAAGAAATCCATCTTCCCTGGTGGAGAGATCCTGTATAGTTCTCGGAGAAGGGGAACATCTGAATCCAGTCTCTGCAGTTCTTGCCAAGGTGTGTGAGGAAGAGACTTCTAATTTGCCAAATCATGAAATTTAATGAAAATGTTGTTATATTAAGCCACTAAGGTGCAGGATGGTTTGTTACACAGCTTTAAGTAACCAAAATTGTCTTTTACAGAATTTTATTGCATCACATTCTTGCTAAATGGAGGGACCTGTTTTTAGCTCTAACCCAAATAATCCTTTATACTCTTTAATCTTTTTTAAGACTCCCTGGCTTCAGAAGGTGCACACTGCAAAAGGGACTCTCATTTCTACTGAAACTAGTGATTGACAAATGTTAATGTACCTAAGAATTGCCTGGAATTATTTAAAATGCTGGTTTCCCAACTACCTTCACCCAGATATTATTCAGTAAGCCTGGTGTGGAGCTCAAGAATCTGCATGTTAGGATAGATACCAAGTGATTTTGATACCCATGGTCCCAAGAACACACATGAAAAGACATTCTAGTAAGACGTCACAGACAGTGAGGCTGTGAACCAAGAAGTCATGGGAGTGAGAATGAGAAGGAAAACAAGGTATCTAAACAAGGAATCTCCGGTTCCATCCTCAAAGTGTTGTTTCTAAGCTTTCTAATTTCTTTTTTTCTTTAAATCAGAACATAAAAAATTGTAATCATTAACTTCATTTCAAGTATACCATCAGACATCAGCAATACAGTTATCGCAGCTATTCATACATATATTTATGTTTTGCGTTCCTTCTATTTTCTTCTTTCCCTCGTCCCAGTCGTTCCTCCCTTTGAGCAATTTCTTTCCCTTTCCTATCATCTATCAAACATCATTTTTTTCTGTATAAAACATCCACTCTACTTGACAGGATTTGAGAGGCTGAAATAAAATGAAAAATCAAGTTCTCTGAAAACTGTAACTTTAATTGGATACAGAATTTAGGAACTTAAGTTTCATTTTATTTCAGCCTCTCAAATCCTGTCAAGTAGAGTGGATGTTTCATACAGAAGTGACCAACCTGTATCTGATAGATGTCAAGTGCAGGATCTCTGGAAGAAGAATATCACAGAAGCCAAGAACCCAAATCCTTGCAACTCTGAATGTTTATTTTTTAAAGAAATATAGGTTCTTCACATCAGAAACACCGCCACCAGGACCCATATTCATTGTAATTATAAGAAGGCTTTATGGCTAAGTTCGGATTTCTAACTCCCACAGCTTCCAGCAGCCTCCGGGATTTGTTATCAAATGCGTCTTTGCACAACCTGAGAAAACACAAGGGAGCATGTCTTTTTTCTGCACTCAGTTTACCCATAGCCTTCTACCTTGTGAGCACTTCAAGAAGAAAAAATTCTGTCAAAATAAAGTATATGAACATGAATGGGGAGTGGGAAAAGGAACTGAGGGATAGAGTGAAGGCAATAACAGAAGTCAGAGGAAAGTGGAATATAGAATAGAAACAGATTCAAATTAAGAGAAGTCTTCCAAGAGCCATCTATCCAAACAAGAGTACTAAGGACAGTGATGAAAACAGCTAAGACACTGTTTATTATGTTAAGCACTGTTATAAGTACTTGGCCTATACTGACTCAGCATGCCTCATAATAACGGCATGGATATATTTTTATCATTTCACCCATTTTATAGATAAGGAAAGGAAACCCCTAATGGATTAGAGGAACAGACTAAATTAAACATTAAGTAAGAGGTAGGGATAGAATTCAAATTCAGTGAGTCTAACTCCAGAACACCCACTCAGAACAACTACACATCACTGTATCTCTTAATATTCAGTATTCTAGGATTCCCACAGAGCCAATCAAGTTGATTCTGAGACCTACCGACAAATGAATGCTTCCCCAAATCCCTCATTATAGGAAACTCCCTCTAAAAGTCACTCAAGACTTACCCTAGAACTTGTAGCTTACATTCCGGACAGGTCAAGACTTCACATAAAGTCTTAATTCCTTCATGGCCCAAGTTGTTCTGTGTTAGGTTCATTTTTATCAGCTTTTGGTTGCTGAGAAGAGCAGAGGAGAGATCCTGACAACACAGAGAGGTCAAACCACAGTATTCCAGCCTGTGGGAAAGAGACACACAGTATAAAAATGACTTCATCTCAGGACAGCAAAGACAAGAGATCGGTGGGCGGAGGATGATTGCAGAAACTTTAAAAAATGAATACAGGGTACATTCAAGGACCATAAGTACTTATAGTATCATTATTAGGAGTTTGTATGCTGAAACTACCTCTTCCTAAATCATGAATTATAGTTCAGGGACTAACAAGCATACTACCAAATACTGTGACTATGAAACAGGTGAACCCTTGAACTAACGATCACTAAAAATATAACAGCATAGATTTTTAAAACTTGGTATTGAATGTTTAAAAAGCAAAAAATAAGAGATCTCTATCATATCATTATTCAAATAAAAACACACACACCAAAAAGCATTACATCCTTTACAAAGATAGTCAAAATTCTGTGGCATATTTCAAACACAGATCAGTTGCCCACACATGGGAAGAATGGCTAATAGATAAATTAACCAGACAACCAAAAGGTGCTTCTACAAGCCAACGACCCTATAAAAACTGAGGAAGTATATTAGACTCTAGCTTCTGCACCTGCTCTTCCTCCAACCTTAATTTTCACCCTCTGCTCACTTAACCACTGAACAGTTGAGTGTGTATGTCCTGAGCATACACAACTTTTAAAGTTGTTGCCCACAAGAAATGAGGTTAATGCAGAAGACACACTATAACACAAGGCACATAACTATCATATGAAATACACCACAGAAGAAAGTATTAAGACAAATCTAATGTGTGAGATTATGAATACACCAGGAAGCATAACTTTAAATTTACAGTCAGTATAATTTCAAGATACAGAAATACATAATTACAGAGCAAAAGAAACCCACTATTATAGTGGAGATTTTAACATTTTAATAACAAAAACGTATTTGGCCAAAAATTATCACTTTTAATTAACTGATAAGAATATACTGTGTGTTAGTCTGTTTTGTGTTCTTTAAGAGACTATCTAATGCTAGGTAGTGTGTAAAGTAAAAGTAGTTTATTTAACTCATAGTTTAGGGGGCTAAAAAGCACAGTGCCAACATCTACTCAGCTCTTGTGAGGGCCTCCTGCCACATCACAACATGGCTGCTGCATCATGGTGGGGACGTATGCAACAGAGAAATCACAGAAAGACAGGAAGTCAGAGAGATGCTCAGGAGCTAGATTTGCCCTTTTATACCCACTACAGAGGGAATTAACCAGGGTCCTTCAGTTTCTATACTGAGTTACTTCTCAGTATAGAAGGATGATGCCCTGAATGACCTAGTTACCTCCCACTGGATTTCACCTCTTAAAGGTTATATCACGTCAGCACACTGGGGATCATGCTTCCAAGCACATGAACCTGTGAGGGACACTATTCAAACCCTAGTATATTGCAACTTACCACTCTTCATACTTTTTTTCAAGTGTATTGTGGAACACATTCAAAATCTGATTATATGTGGTCTATGACGCAAATGTCAAAGCTTAAAAAATTAAAATCACGCACAATATCTTCTCAGATCACAATGGTAGAGATTAAATATAAAAAGAAACCCCTCTTCAAAAATTGAGATTTTAAAGTAGCCCAAATGCACAAGGAAAATGTAGTACATTTAAAATATTTTATAGAAAAATCATAAAATAAAAATACAAGAAATGCTTTTAAAAATAAAATGGCAAATATACAAACAGTAGAAAATGCCAATGTTGTGTTCTTTGGGAAAAATGAAATACAATGCAAAAAGGTTCAAATTACCCATACTGTATCAGGATTGAGAAAAGAGCTACACTATGATTTTAAAATTAAGCAGATATTACAAACTTCCCAGTAAAATTAAGTGAACTGGATAATATAACAAAAAAGTTCGAGAAATTTTAAACAATTTTAAAAATTGAGTCAGCGATCAAAATAATCTACATAAGGGAACTAACTACCTTAATTGTAAACTTTTACAAAATTCAAGGAATAATTCCAGGCTGACCAAATTACTCCTAGGAAACTGAAAAAGGAACATTCCTGAACTCATTGAATGGAATTATTATAATGTAGATACAAAAATGTAAGGAGGACTAAAGAAGGAAATTATAATCTAATCTCTATTATGAGTGAAGATGATAACTTATGTAATAATTGATACACACTGTGTACATCGTTGGTTTTAGCCCCAGAATACAAGATTAGTAAATCAGTGTGACACACCAAATAAAAACATTTACAATAACATTGAAATATCACAAGGAGGGCCGAGATACAGCTCAGCAGGCAGAAGCACCTGCCTGACAAGCACAAGGTCCTGAGTTCAATTCCCGGTATCAAAATAAAGAAATATCACAAGGAGTTAAGGTTCGAATAGAGGACCATTCAAGCAAAATTTTCTAAGCTTTATTGATAAACCTAAATAGGCACAGCAAAATGAATTGTATCAAAATGAACTATCAAGAGACTAATTGATAGATTCCATATAATGCTAATCAAAATGCCAGTATTTAGGTGGGTTGATGCAGGTGCATGTGCACTTCTGTGTAATGTAAGAGTTACATTTAAAACTTTGGAAACATATGGGGAAAAATAGCCAAAATTATCTTAAAGATATGAATTCCTGTCTGAGTTTTTAAAAATTATACAGCTATATTAAGAAAGACAGTGCATTAGTGGTACTAGGGAATTATAAACAGGCCAGTGGAAAATAGAAAACCCAGTAACAATCAACACACCAGTGAAAATGGGACCTGTAACAACAACAAAGGTATCCCTGCTAAGCAGTGAAGAGAAAAATTTCAATAAACTTTGCTGGAAAAAAAAAATGAGTACCTGCACAGGAATATATTAAATTGGACTTCAATTCTAATCATTTTTAAACACATTAAAAACTCAAAAGCTTTATAACTTGATTTTGCTATTTAGGAAATCAGAAATAGCACGTGAAATATAAGGTGTGGGAGATTATGAATTTCTGTGAATATTCTATGTAAAGATGCTTTTGTTTCTTCTCTTGATCCTGCTGGACTGAAAATATGGGCACAGTTAAATGAATTGATAGCCTCTAGGATGGGATTTTGGGGGGAACAGCAGCAACAGTACTTGGGAAAAAACACCTTAAAATCTGCGAGGTACGAAAACTAGAACAATGAATGCTCTCATTCTCCCCCAAAACCGAGCCCTGCAGCCTGGTAAAATAACTTTGTCCTTTATATGAATCAAGCAGCAGCTGCAGCTGCCACGTAACCCCATGCTGGGTTTGTCATGCCCACCTACATACTACAGAAACAAATGCTCATGTGGACAGGACAGGTCTTGAGATATTTTTCTGTGCCTGATGCCATCAGTGACGATGTCATCAATGACAACCCCAATGTGGATCATCATGTGTGTACAAATATGACCACCAGCACAATTTCGTTTTGGCTGATACAAATTATAAACTTGTCCTGATGAGCAGCCTCTGGTTATACTATGTAAGGCCAGTGAGGCAGCTGTAACTACCAGGTTGACTATGGAATAACCAAACCAGTGTAATGGGGACACAAAGAAAATATAACAGCACATCCCAAATTAGAGTGTCCTGTGCTCCTCTGGCTTATATATATTTTAGGAGGGAACAGTAAGCCACTGAATGTCTTTCCTGGGAACCTGGGTTGCTTTTGTCCTATGTTTTGTCCTTCATTTAGTGTCACTAACCCCAAAGATCAGAAGGTCATGTTTCATTTCTTTGTGGTCATAACAGACCTGTTAATCCTCCTTGGGACTTAGTTGTCTGAGTTCAAGACTGTAGGGTCATGGCTGAAATCAATCCAAGCTAGCCTCCTGTGCTTGCAGTATTATTGATCATGACCATAATTAAATGGCATATGAGATTAGTTGAATAGATCTGGTCCCAGTCTCTTGGTTATATTAATCAGAGTGGCCAAATTTACCAGAATCCAAGACTGTACTGTGCAGAGACATGGGGTGGACACTGCTAGGAACATACTTCCACTGGCCTTTCACTCTCCTACATGTTTGCTAACAAAATAGCAAGGCTCTAACAAATCTACCTAGGCCATTTCCCAGAGTTGTGCATGTAAGGAGCAGCCTGAGTTACAAGGTATTTCACCAGGAAGAAGAGGCAGCTTCTTATCACTTGTTATATGGTGGAATGGTCAGGCATCCATGTGAGACTCTATTACAGCCCTGTGAGAGCTGGGGGACAAAGGAAACTGACACAAAATGCTATCCATGTTCATGCTCAATGCTATTTGTAATAAAGTCCTTTGTCTCTAATAGTACTCTTGTGTTTTCTGCTAGTACCTATGAAATAGTAACAGGCTAATTATATACATATATACATATATATGTTATAAGATAAAATTAAATCTCAGACTTAACAGTTAAAATATCATTGTTATGATAAAAACTATATAAACAGCCAATGGAAACACAATAATAGCAGCACTTTCTTGGAGGAGTCGGGGATGATTTTTCTAGGAGACTTAAATTCCTAGAGATTGAAATCTCTGGGCTTCCCAGATGTCAGCACATTCATATTGTATAGGTACCAGCTAGTATCAGTTCAAAAGTAAAAATTTAAATGTAGGATTGAATCTAAGTAGTTCCCAGAACATAGGGTAAGAATTTATTAAACTGTAAGATCTTTGGTAACTTACATAGTATTTTACAGATACAAAATGGTTAGTAAAATCTTTAATAAATATTTAGGGACAAATGGAATAGCTGAAGAAAATAGAGGACACAAATCAGTTGCCATGTGTGTCTGTGGTACTAAGAGGAATGCAAATTGCAAATAAATGAAATGTGGCTCTTATACCAAAGAACATGAAATATATTGACCCATATACTTGAAATTCAGATTTTTTATGTAATCTGCCTTCCATCCCCCTTTTTCATTGTCTTTCCACATATGAAGCAACCAGCCACCAAACAGGTGTCATTTTCCTAACTGAGTACAACTTACCCAAGCTTCTGAAGGTTACACTTTGGATTTCTCAAAGCCTCACACAGTATTTGCACTCCTTCATCCTGCAAGTCATTGTACCCAAGGTCTAGGCTTGATAGGCTTGGGCTGTGCAAAAAAGCACAAGCCAAATCCAGACAACACTCAGTAGTGAGAACACAACTCATCAATCTGCAAGAAATAAAGAAAAATCAGCCTGACAATTGCGAGGCTTAACTAGTTTCTTCCTAGGGGGGCTGCCCAGGGATTTGAACCTCTTCTTGCTTAAGAGGCTATCTAAGAAACAGAGAATTGTGTTTATGTGTTTACAGCAATGTTGTGTTTATGTGTTTACAGCAATGCTAAGAAAATATGGGCTGAGGAAAGACCTTGAGTGTACAGGTCACTTAAACATTGTATCTCTGTAGTTGAAATAAAGGCACTGGATTTCATAATATCATCCATTAAATAAAACTTTCTCACCAGGCATGGTGGTGCACGCCTGTAATCCCAGCATTCGGGAGGCTGAGGCAAGTGAGTTCAAGACCAGCATGAGCTACAAAGTGAGCTCAAGGCCAGCCTGAACTGCATAGTGAGACCCTGTCTCAAAAAAAACAAAAAAAACCTTTTTATTCCATTTCAATAATTATCAAGAAAATTTCAGAGAGTCACCTAACACTCCCTATATACATACACATTTCCCTTAAGGAACTGTAAGTGTCTATTGAATTGGGGAGTTCAGTTTTAGTATTTACAGAAATCATAATAAACTATTAAACTTATTTGGAAGTTTAGTTGTAATGAGTCAGTTCAGTCAAGACAAACACTTCTGGGTATACCAAGGTACTTGAGTTTATAGTTTAAAACCCTTAATGTCTTACCCATGCTACTAGTCCCATGGGAGGCCCTAGTGCAAAAGCTGAAGTTGCTACCTCTGACTTGCTTCACTCTAGCCACAATATTTACAGTGTGATATGAAATATATCGTTATTAAAATAAGATTTAAAATAAATATTTAAATGTTTTTCTGAAATACTATCAGGTGAAAGGAAACCAAAGTTACCTCTACACAATAATCACAATGACGTAGATACATGGGCTATGCATATGTATTCTCACTCATAGACCAATAGAGAACACAGGAATAAAAATGGTTGTAACCAACTCTGTGCTCTACACAAGGAAAGTAAACATTATGTACTGCAAATGTACTAAGAAAAATAAATAAGGGCCAGGACTACAGCTCAGCAGTGCAGCCGTGAGGCAGCGAGTTCAATTCCCAGTACCAAAAAGAAAGAAAAATAAAATTTCAAAAAATGGTTGCATGTAAAAATGGCAATAGGTTACATTTTAAAATCCCCAGGTTTTTTTGAAAGTTCATCTAATTATACACCCAAGTTTAAATATAAGCCTGAAAGAAGAACTTACAGCACAGTTTCCGCTGTGTGGACACAAAGCACAGAACACTAGTAGACTGCCCATTAGGGCACAATCAAGGAAAAACTAATATGGTTCCTATCCATCCTGATACCTCTAGATCCTTACCTGAGGGAAACTGGTTTTAATGCTATAGTGATTCTATTAAAAGTAAAATCCGATAAACAGACTTCCCCAGCTTGTCTCAGTCAGAGTCAGCTCTGTATTCTTTTCTGCTTTTCCATTCTTGGCTTTTCTTGCCATATCTACCCCGCCCTCAAGGACAATTTATAGTTGAAACTACCCAAAAGGAGAGTCAGAAAACCTACTCCACATCCTGAAGATTACAGCTCTGCTGGTGAAAGACATTGCACAGAAGATTTACTCCACAATCTTGAAGAGAATTTGATCCCAGATCCAGATGTATCAGACTCTTATTGTGTAGAAGAGAAGCTGAGAGATATTCACCGCTGAGTGAAGTGAAATGGCAACGCCTCAGCCTATAGGAAGGACAGTAAGAGGAAAGATAGGATCACTGTACACTGCCCAGAGATGTCCATCTTTGAAAGGATTTCATATTATAATCCCTTACAACTTTGCCAGCATTTTACCTAAGATCAGACAGCCTGGTGCCCAGCCTGTCTCACAGGACACAGATCTACATTAAATTGGTTACCAACTAGGTGCATGTTCTTCAGAGATTTTCTTACTATAAATCAAACATTAACCTTTTATATACTGTCCATATATAATACTCTGTTGCAGAAATAGCTACATGGAATACAGCAGCAGGAAGATGGAGGAAAGGAGGAGTAATCATAACAAGTATTTCTCATATAATAAAAGTAGCACTTTCAGTCAATAAGGAAAAGACATTATGCCATTAATGATTTTTGTATAACAGATAGGATATATGAGGGGATAAATATAAGCCTTATGTAAAATATCTAGAATAATTTAGCATGAAAATTTTTAAAATTAAACCATAGAGAATATGAGCAACTAACAAATGGATTTTTAAAACCTATTTTCAATTATGGATGCCTTTAGAAGTCACGAGAGGAATCTGACCTCACAAAAAATTTAAACTTTTATATTTTGAAAATGACTAAAGAAAGCTGGAAATAAAGCAACATGTTAGGGAAATTTTTAATATGTAAAAAACAAAGTATAAGTGATATTAATAACCACAATATATAACAAATATAACAGAAATATATAGCATATATAACATATAATAATATATAACATATGTAACAGAAAACAGAAATAAATAGCCTATGAAGAAGCAATTCCTAAAATATAAAAGGCCAAAAAAATTGGAAAAGATGTTCATCAAATTACTTAAAGTAATTTAAATTAATTTTCAACTGTCTAATATTGATCAGAAAGACTATAGCTATCCAATGGGATACTAAAATGCAGGCATCTAGACTACTGTTGGGAATATAAGTAACGTATTTGGAAGATAATTTAAATACCTCTGACAAAAAATCTTTGGGACATCAACTCATGTCTAGAAAAGTACCTACCAAAAATGAAGAATAACCACACTATGATCCAGCCATGCAATGGAATGCTATTACTTCTGTTAATGGTGTTTGTATTTATTTACTTGCTTTAAATAGACTATGGAGTTGGACAGGCGATAGACTTCAGCTCTAAATTCACCTTTTTCTTGTGAAACATTAGGTGAGTTACATTATCTTTCTAAGCCTCACTTTCCTGACCTGTACTGTGTGGCACCTAGAATTTAAGTGTCAGTTTGACACCATCAGATGCTGTTGTGTAAATTAAATAACTTTAGCATAGGGTCTATGATCCAGACAATAAATGGCAGTTATTAGTATGACCATTATCATTAAGGACAATAGAGAAAAAGCAGAATTTGCTTCTGATAGGTCTTCACTTGTCCTATTTCGGTGTTACAGAATACCTGAGACTTGGTAGTATCATGAATATACATTTCTCATAGCCTAGAACCTGGGAGGTTTCAGATGAGGGGCTGTGTCTGTGATGGCCCTCTAGCTACACCATCCCACCCCAAGAGGCAAAAGGGCAAAAGAGCATGAGAGCAAGAGAAGTGGGGCCGAACTCATCTGTTTATGAGGAATCACTGCTGTGGTAACCCACTCCTGAAATAATGGTGCTAACTCACTGCCCTTCTGAATTAATTACCTCTTAAAAGGTCCTGCCTCTCAACACTATGCATTACACTGGGGAGTAAATTGCCAATACTTCAACCTTGGGGGTAGCAATATTTTAAGTATCTTTCAAAGGGCATATTACAGTGAAAGGGTGAGAAATAGTATACACTTACACAAGGCTCTGTAGAGTACACTCTGGATTTTTCAAGGCAGCACTTAAAAGCTTTACTCCACGATCTCCCACGGAATTGTCTGCCAAGCATAAATGTGTCAGTCTCTTATTTCTGATAAGGGCCAAAGAAAGATCCTCACAACTAGTCTCTGTGAGGCCACAGCTTTCCAATCTGAAGGAGAAACACATGGGAAAGGATTCATTAATTCTCAAAGCTTACACCTCTCCCCACAAGGAAATGAGCTGGTATTTACAACTCCTAAATCTCCACTGTAGAACCTCAACAAACCTACTGAAGTTGTGAATTCTATTGCAGCTGTGCATATGGGATAAGATGAAATAAAGCACAGAAATAGAAGATTAGAAGAGAATAAGGTTGCATTTGGGAGGCTGAGGCAGGAGGATTGTTGCAAATCTGAGACCAGCCTGGGCTACAAAGTGAGTTCAAGGCCAGCCTGAATTGCATAGCAAGACCCTGTCTCAAAAAGACAAGAAAAAAAGAAAAGAGAGAAGAAAAGAGAAAGAAAAGAATAAGGTCAATCAGATAGGAAAGAATTGCCAAAAGTTAAGAGAAGGGAAGGGCTGGGGTATAACTCAGTGGTAGACTATGTATTTAGCATGTGCAAGGTCCCGAGTTCCACCCCCAGCACCAAAAAAAAAAAAAAAACAAAAAAAACAAAAAACAAAAAAAATAAACCACCCAAAAAACAGTGGAGTGAAGGAAGGAGTATAGGGTATATGGAAAATTCATGCAGGATTGAATTCATTTAGTGTCAAGACCCAAGCATCTTCTGCACTCAGATCACAAGTGAGCTGTATAAAAAAGCTGACTCACGACAGTCTCTCTAGGTGACACTCTGGATGTCCTAAGGCCTCACATAACAACGTCACTCCACTGTCCAGTAGATTATTGGTTGATAAGTTCAAAAACACCAGGCTCTGGCTCTTGATGAGAGCCTTGGATATAGCCAGACAACAAATCGCAGTTAGGTTGCAGGCTTCCAGCCTAAAAATATAGAAAAACAGGAATGAGCGCATTCCGGAGAATTACAACCACACGTACCCAGCCAGAGTGAAGGATCTCCCAGTGTTGGGAACCTTGCCCGAATATCCAGCTTCCCCACACAGAACGAGTTATTTAAAGTGTAAGGCTCTGTCTGATAAAAGAGCTAGGAAGGGGACAGGAGGAAATTTGTCTCTCCCATCCCAAACCTCCCCAATTCCTTAATGAAAATATATATGAAAGCATTGTAAAATACCTTGAAATGGTAAATTCTTTAAAATCTGGGAGGAATTTCCTCTAACTAGAACAGAAGACGGAGGGACCAGCTGTTTCCTGGTACACCGGCTTGCAGAACAATAGAAGTGGACAGGAAGTCAGGAGCAAAGGCCATGTCTCCCAGCAGCTCAGTTCCTTAGGGAATCAAGCTACGTTTCTGAGAAGCCCAGTTCTTAAGAGTGAAGACAAGTAAATCAGAAATAAAATTCTTTCTAAAAATAAAGATGGGAAGGGAAGTAGAAAAAGTACATGTAGAGACCCTCTACATATTTAGAGATTCCTATTTAGGGAAGGTTTGTACTTTGTACATGGCTGCAGTGATATCAGCTATTTGTAAGGAGAGTCAGGGAGAGCAGCATTTCATTCCTGGCAGCTGAGTTTGCACCAGGCATTTCCTTTAATTAAGGATTATAATTTGAGACACTCAGGAACTACACACAGAGGTAGGCACAGGAGAAGCTCCATAATCCAAAGTACTGGTATGGTTATTACAAGGGAAGAAACCCAAGGAGTGGGCATGTACACAGAAAAGGATAAGTGATGACAGGGAAAAACAAAAAGGAGAGACTTCACCAGAAACCAACTCTGTCTGCACCTTGCTCTTGAACTTTAGTATTTTGCTATGGCAGCCTGAGCAAACTAAATCAAAAGGGCACTGTATCAGCAGCCACACAGGCAGTTGAGGAAAATCTTGTCATTGTGTTTGGAGAGAACTCTTCCAGACAGAAAAAGATCCCAATGTTAAGGAACCTGTGGATTAAAAACAGTTTTATAGAAGGACATTATACTAAACTAGGAAACAGCAGAAACTATTTAGAAAGATTTGCTTTATACTTTAAGTGTACAGGAAGATACTGACTGTGAAATAATTAGCATATCATAAAGAGAGAGGAGACAGAAAAGGGCAGGTTTGAGGTAAGGGCAACAAAATTAAGAAAATTTAGATTTGAAGCAAAAAAAAGCAAAATCAAATGAAAATAAGTGAGAAACTTCCAAGAAAAAAGGAAATAAGATTAAAATGACAAAATTCAGAGCTATGCAGGAAGAGAGATATAGTCAATGATCATTGGATGCTCTTGAAAATCATAGCACTGGGTTTGGTGGCACATGCCTGTAACCCCAGCACTTGGGAGGCTGAGGCAGGAGGATCTTGTAAGTTCAAGACCAGCCTGGGTTACAAAGTGAGCTCAAGGCCAGGCTGAACCACACAGTGAGAACCTGCCTCAAAAAGATTTAAAAAAAAAAAGCACAGCAAAAGAGGAATAGATAACAATTTTAATAATTTAAAGAACTCATTCCTGAGCAGAAAATTTTTAAAATGGTTTCTAATAGGTCAAAAGGTAATTTCATGCAAAAATAATGAAAAATATTCTAACATTACCAAGGACAAAGTACTCAAACTGAAGAGTTTGCAAAAAAACCCCAGAGGTTGAGGAGTCAGGCTATTCTTAAGAGACTTTCTAAGACACAAAGTGCTAAAAAGCAACGTAGCAAAGTAAAAATTCTGAGAACAAAGTGGAGACCAAACCCAGATAGGTTATCATACATCTATGAAAGCAACTGAAGGACAAACTATACTATTCAATAGTTCGTGAAAGTGTTAAATCACACCAAAGATGCAATGAATCAAAATTAAGGTTTTAAATTTGGCAAGAGCCAAATTTAACAAAAACTTGGCAGTAAATGGTGACAAAAATTACATTTGAAGAGTTAAGTCTAAATAACTAATGTGTTCACGTTGCCACCATAAACCATCAGAAAAGATTTGAAAGTGTCCAAGAGTGTTGTCTTTGTAGACCCACAGTAAATTAGCATAGTAGAAACTGTGTATATACAAAGGGGATCATTTAATATTAATATTCTCTTGAATTTAATAATTCAAAAGTATATTTTGGGAGGATACTCTAAAGGATAAAACTTACTCAAATTTCTGAACACACCTGAACAAATGAAAAATATCTCATTTATGAAGGAAAAATACAAGTAGTACTGAAAACACTTAGAATGCCTCTAAGTGCATATATAAGTATTAACTGCTTACAGTCCACTTGTTTATAACCTATTTTGTTTTTATGCTTTCCACATGATAAGTTTCGGTTTCTCAGGATTTTTTTTTTTTTAGTGTTTACTGGAATCACAGCTACAGGATATTCTAACTCCTAATGAATGAAATGTCAGCCTCATAAAAATATTCTCTTTTACAACTGCAAAATATATAGTACTACAAGCCAGAAAATATTTTAT